ATTGCAAAAGTAATGATGCATAGCAGCAATGAACCAGAACCGCCAAACACAACCTCTGCAGTTGGTTGCGGCCCCTGCTGTTGATGCTGCATGCTAATTAGCGGTTCATCATGTACCGGCTTGCTGATGACAACAAGAGTGGCATCATTGTCGTCGGCTGGCTGCAGCATTGCGTCCACATTGCCTACGGCCTCTAGGCCGTCTTCATTACCGTCGCTAATGGCTTCAGTGAAGTTTAATATCTTCTTTAATGGCCTTCCACGTTTTGGGAGCTTCGGGTCCGAATATTTTGCAGCGTTTGGTCCGGTCAGAAAAAGTCCGATTCCTCGTTGACTTTCGGGCGTGACCTTCCTAACAGTATCCATGGCATTAAAGTACTATAATATGGTTAACATGTTTGTCTCCTGTAAGATTCTAGCGGCTTTGGCATGGACAGCCCATTTTTGGCTGAAGGAATGAACTTGTACGGTCGGAACATTATTTATTCTTAATTTCCAGGACCGCGAACATTTTTTTATTCCGAATTCGGAATATATTCCGCAAAAAAAAACACTGTCAATTACCCCCTTTGGACGCTAGTCTGGACTAGACACAGCGTTCCCGGCCTCTTAACCACGGAGTTCCAAAACCTAAATACAAGATTTGACCATGGAGCTGGAGCGGCCTCTGTGACAGTTCACAGTAGAGGGAAGTCATAGTCTCACCTCGCACTTGCCTACCTCGCGCCCATGCCGCTTAATTTGCTGCGGACTCATCGACATACCGTCGACGATCTCAAGTGAAACACACGATTTCCAGTTGCCTGGGTGGCCGGATCGGCTCTTGCTCGGTGAGAGTTTCGACATGTTGACTTAGGAAAAACTTTCTCCCCGGTCCCGATCTTCCGACATTGCGGGAATCAAACCAGCGACTACTTTGCGTAGCGGCCAGCCCTAATAAGGACCTTGAACCTATCAAATCAAGCATAGCGTCGGACGATAACATCACCCTGCCCTGCCCTGCCTGCCTTGCCTTTCTGGCTTGAGTCCTATGTCTGCTCCACATTTCGCTTGTAAATCTTAGTGTCAGTCATTTTCCAACATTACGAAGGAATAAGGAAATATGGCGTTCGCAACCTCCAAACGGAGCTTGCTTCCTGTGAGCTGCCAGGTCGTGATCAGGATTAGTTTATCGCGTTATCGCGTTAGCCTAAGGGCTGTCTGATGCTGGCTAGAATTCTCTAAAAGGCCTGGCCCTTAAGACTGTAAAGGACATGTTGGTAATAAAGGGAATTCTGCTAGTTTCTGAGGTTTCTCCCCAGGCGGGCATACGTTGTGTGCTGATTTGTAATTTAATGTGCCGTAGCTGCAGGGATAAAAGATATTCGAATGAAACCTGTATTAAAAATGTCCTTATGCGGCTGAAATAGCGCTGTCCTTGTTGTCCTGGCGACGCCGTGCCCGCTCGTTCCAGCTCGTTCCAGCTCGTTCCAGCTCGTTCCCTTGCTTTGTCATCTTCCCCTGTAAATTCCTGCTCGAATTGAAGGCCTTCGGTAAACATCTCGCGCTGTCCATATAACATGTAATTATTATACGAGTGTCGATCATATTCCAACACTCCTGTGTCGCCGAGCGATGGACGCTGCCATCACCAACTGCAGTTGGGCCGCGCTTACCCAAACTCCAACAATGATGCGTAGCTGTTAATCAGCAGGGCAGCATGTTCGTTTCGGCACCTCACAGCTATAGGCGCATGTATATGCATGCGTCGAATGAGCTTGAGGAAATACACCTTTGCTTGATATCCAGGCATGCAGATCCGAATCAGAGAGATCGACTTCACAGCAAAAATGCCAAAAACATACTATGATTTCTTATTGAAGCTTAATAAACCTATCATGACGGTAAACAAGCATCGCGAATAAGAAAAGAGCACCGCCCTTGCAAGTAGTGCCGGCAGCGACAACACCGCAGCCATGCTCAGCTCACGACACGGCCCAGAAAAGCAGTTTCGAAACTGTGACATGTTGTGCTGCTGGAAGCTACCACGAGAACAACAGCCTGAAAACCTGCGAACCTTACGCTACGGTTGCATTCCAGCCTCTGGACATAGTTAAGCATGGGCGGATAAAGTTCCATAAAGATACATGTTAGAAGATACATGTTAGAATGTTGTTTCGTTTGAAGTGCGAGGTAGGATGGTGCTTATAGGCGATCTGGCAGCCCTTGAGCCCTCGGCTCGTATTAGGGTGGTTTGCAGGTACGGGGAACGCACCCACGACCATGTAACCACAGCAACATGTTAGAAGTTCCGTACACAAGTGCGGGTGTGTCCGTAAAATCAGGGGGCCCATAGACGTTCTATTGATAATGAGCGGGTAGCGGGGGCCCATCATCATCCTCCCTCGTTCGCTTCAGGGCGAAGCGCCTCAGCACGACGTGCCTGGCCTCCCAGATTTCCTAGAGGTACCTGGCCAATGCCAGGGATGGCGCCTCAGTCATAATGGTGCGCATGCTGCGCCCCTCAAAGACTAGGTCACCATCGTACTTAGCCCGTATGCTCTTGTAAGCGGGGCATTCATCAAAAACGTGCAATTCATCTTCAACCGCTCCACAGTCACAAAGCCTGCAGGTACGCGCGGTGCACTCACGCCCATTAGGCCTATTAAACGCTTAACTCCCAACGGCCTAACCAGAAACGTATGAGCACTTGATGCAGTCGCTGGGGCATGGTTACTTTAGTGTGCTCCAGCCAATCGAGACGCACACCCCTAGGCGGGGCCGCTCCCATCCAGTTCATATAGCGATAAGCCTTAAGCTTGGCTCCGGTAATCCCTATGGGGAAAACGCGGGGGTCACCAAAAGTATTCGGACACCCCCACCGTGCATCAATACCTTAAGAATGCTCTCGACCGGCAATTTAAGGGTGGCGTAATGCGCTATGAGTTCATCACCGCGCGTATTAGTGGGGGTTTCTGCTCCCACGCTAGTAAGAAAGGCTAGTACCTAGCTTGTCCAGCACTCAGTAACGCCAACGAGTGCCAATTCTAGGTCAGCGACAAATGCCCGATGACACAGCGTTCCCGGCCTCTTAACCACGGAGTTCCAAAACCTAAATACAAGATTAGTCCATGGAGTTGGAGCGGCCTCTGTGACAGCTCGCGGTATAGGGAAACCATAGTCGGGCTCCTCACCCCAACTACAGATCGCATGTACGCACGCTGCTCCTGGACCATGGGATTAGTCATAGCGCCTTCAAAACTCACATTTATGAAGTCAGGGTCCCCAAGCTTGCGCTCCATAGGGAATCACCGGTACGACTAGTGTATTATAGAGAGACATACATAGCTTGGGGACGGTAATTTTCTTATCTCGACAGAGTGCTGAGCCCGAACGTGGCCCGCCTCCCTGCTGTGAGTAGTTGCTTGGTACATGCTGAAAACTGCACTCCCGGGCCATAGTGCAACCCGAGGTACCGTGCAGTCTCGTTGCCGGTCAGCACCTGCAACCCCCACCCCACCTAGCCGGTACTCAGCTTCCATAAGCCGCTTCCGCTCACGCGTAGTGCCCTCGAAAATGAGGACTTCACACTTGGCGGAATTCGCGGCCGTACCCGTCGACTTGCAGTAGGCTTCGAGTAGCCCCAGAAGGCATTCAGCTCTATCGTGCCCAGTCGCCACCAGTGACCCATCGTCAACGAAAAGCAGGTTGGTGAGTTCACCGCCCGCCAGGCTAACACTCTGCTCGCGGAGGGTGCTCCATCGGCTAGGAAGGCGTACACGGCAATCAGCATCGTGAGCATCAATGTAATGAGCGAATACTTCTATGAAGAGTCCAAAAAGGGTTACGCTAAGGGGCCACCCTTGCTTCACACCACGCCCTACCGTGAATTCAGGTCCCAACCTATTCCCAACTTGATCCGAAACTTCACGTCAGCATAGCTAGCCTTCAGATAAACAAGGACGCGCCCGTGTAGTCCATACGACTTGAGGAAGCCCCATAGTGTCTCACGGTCAACGGAGTCGAACGCCTTACTAGAGTTAATCTGAGTCAATTTGCATGATTATAAGCGACCTGGCTCCGGCCACAAATTGCTTTCAGATAAGATGCCTCAATGTAAACAAAGTGGTTATCGGTGCCAAAACCATGCCTACATCCAGCCTGGCTAGCGGCACGTAGCCTGTTGCCCTCACAGTAATTGGTGAGTCGCCTCCCAATGACATGGGCGAAAAGTTTGCAAAGTGGGCCCCCAACCGCAATGCCCCGATAATTGTCACAGCAGGTAGCGTCCCCTTTTTTTGAAAACGGGGGAAAAGGTGCTAGTTGTGAATCCTCGCGGGTATTTAGCTCCGTATATGCGGTTGTATAGCACCGTTAAGTAAGGCGCCAATACAAACACGGGCTGCTGCCCTTCACTTTCCTTGATAGTGTACTTATAATACTCGGCCGGAGTTCCTCCCGGTCCCCCGACTTCTTGTTGCGCAAAGCCTAAATATATACCCCCTCAAAACAATGCAAAAAGGAAGCCATAGATATAAACCCTAAAACAATGCAAAAAGGAAGCCATGTATATAACCCCTCAAAACGATGCAAAAAGGAAGCCATGGCCACGAGGTTGTCATCAAACGTCATTAGGGACGGCAGAGAGATCGATCACCCGGTTGATTAATCTTATAAGAGACTATCTAGCGAGTGATAGCTACGGCATGCTGTTCGATCGATCGCTGGATCGAGTGGCATCTGCCTCCACCTGCTGCTGCGAATAGACGCACGCGCGGTTGCGCTACACTGGGCATTACTACGGACGTGACCAGCGGCTCGTGAGCACAGCGAGGCCTTGTGCTCCTCGGAGGTCAGCCGTGCTCGCTAGCTAGCTGGCTGGCTGGCTAGGCAGACCAGACGGCTGCTGGACCAGTAATAAGAGCTCTGCGCCCTGCCAATCGCATGCTTTATGCCTTATGTACACATTCAGAGCGAACGCGTAGATCACACACGCACAATAATCATAACCAGTACACCACCACGCTTGTTTCGCATTACAAGCGCACGTGCTTATCGTGGTCAGTTTCCTTTTCCTTCTGATGGTTGGTAATAGATATTTCAAGGCATGCACGCACTGGCATAAGTCTAGCAAGTTCACTTTCGATTCACACTTCAAGGGTTATCCAAGCACCCGGACTCGGCACATCATACGACCAGCTCTATCTTCACCTTTCAGATAGACCCTCGGCTCGTATTGGGCGGTTTGCAGGTACGGGGAACGCACCTCACGACCATGTAAAACACACACACACACACGCAGATAGACATACAGACTTCTGCGCCTGCCTCCTGCCCCACGCCTGCTCCTCGTAATCTTCCTTTTTATTTTTTCGAAATGTACGAATAATGCAATATCAGTCCACAGTAGGCATTAATGTGTCCCGCAGCGTGGTGATCGACCCATCACATCTCCTACCTTAACTCCAATCGATCTACCTTACGACACCTTATTAACAGTCGCCTTACCCCTACCTGGACACAAACGTGTTGAGGGCAAAAAAAATTATATGACAGCGGTTTTCTCCTGCCTCGCTAGCTGTCGCACAATGATGTGGTCGGACAACAACAAGAATCAAGATACGAGCAGCTAGACTGACGACGTCGCATCACAACTCGTGGGTGATCGATTTGAAGTGCAGGTATGCCCGCCCCTTGCGGCCCCATAGCCCGTTTAGAGACGCGCACAGCTCCGAGACTGTTCCGACCAGAGGCTCAGGGCCCGCCGCGTACACAGCGACACGCAGTTCCTCTAGCGCTAAGTCCGCAGAACTGAAGTTCGCATCCAACAGCTCGCCGCTGGTGGGTCCGGTGGCGTTGACATCGGGTGCGATGCCGCCGGTCATAGCAACCTGGTGCAACAGAGTCAACAGGTCGGGCCTGCCGTACTTGATGTACGACGTGAGAGCCTTGGCGGGCGTGGGGAAGGATGCCTTCTTAGGCGCGTCGTCGAGGCTGGTCCTAATCGCGGTGCTAACGGCCTGGTCGTTAGACGACCGGAAGCTGCTTGCAGTAGTTCGAAACGATGCCCATGTGATCGGTCGCGCAAGTCGCCTATGCACGTGGGCGCAGGGGCAAAGGATAAAGGTTGGGGGATTCGAAAATTATGCACATTCGACCCGTCAGAAGGACAACAAATTGCTGCAAGTGCTGGTATTCTATCCAAGCATGACACGAATGCAAATGATTCAATCCAATCAACTCGTACAGCGGTTGAAATCTATAGAGCCTTAGTCATCATTAACTGCAAAAAGCGCCCCAACCTACCTCCACAAATGCGCCCCCAGCATAAGTACTGCAGGCGGTAATGTCGAACCAAGGCCTAGCGCAGCGAATTGCATCATGCCCACGAACGAAAAGTCATTCCGTACGGTCACCGTACGAGACAGATGGGCATCGTACGCCTGCGAGCACATCAGCCCTGCAAAACCGCCTGTGAAACTGAGCACCACAGCCGCCATCCACAGCAGCGGGCTAAACATGTACGGGTGAGACAGAGGCCTGCATACGCGGAGGCGGCGTGAAGTGTGCGGGGGCATGGTCGGGGTTGCGTTCGTTGCACGTTTTTATAAATGGATATGTCATAATAGCTGGTAGACAGGTCGGTTGTAATAATGCTTATGTAAGTAGATAAAGCGAGGGCATCGGGGGCCCATCGAATTTTCACTAGGCAATGCAGGAAGCCTTTCCTTACCCGACCTGCAGCGGGGATATTTTGCTTGTTGGAAACTTAAAAATTCCTACTTTGACAGAGGGAACAAGCCCAAGGAAAATGAATATTTACGGCGGTCGGCCTTTTAGAAAAAAATCAAGCGGGGCAACTCAAAACCCATGCGCCCCAGCTCTATATATGCTTACCGAGCAGCAGTCGCCAAGCCACCGAAAGCATCTTCATCTCCCGACGGAAGCTTAGCCCCGGAAAGCCCCTCTCCGATAGCTTGGGGCGTCATGACAGAATCATTGCTGCTGCGGCTCCCAGAACCCGGCGGCGCGGTACCCTCTAGGGAGGCTTTTCCGTCGGCGGCGGCCTTGGCGGCGACAGTGGTGACTCCAGCGGCTTGTGAGTGCTTGCCATCAGGCGCTGCGGTCGACGACGTCAGGTGCAGATAGAGGTCCACACCGGAAGCAACCCTGGCGGAGTGATGGCGAGTTAAGAGGCAGATGTGTAGGTCAGGGCAGGGCACGGAATCCGGAATGTGGAGCTGTAATGACATGTTTAGACAATATTTGTATTCTAATCTTATCTGTATCACTATTGCTTGGTATCCATTCAGATCCCCACTGCACTCACCATTTGGACGTGCAATAATGTGCGTGTGTGTTACACCTAGGCTGTCGTACCTAGAGCGGTGTAATGAGACCGTACGAGCCAGAGGCCCAAGAGCTTAGAAGCCACAAGCTAGAGAATACCAATCTGATACTATGACATCCTTGTAGATAGGGTCTGGTATTGTACTCGCCAGTGCGCTTATCCAAGGGCGAGCCCTTCCGTTGGCCGTAGCTTAGAAGCTAAACAACTTGGCACTCACGATAGAGCTAACCGAGCTACCCGAGAAAGGGCCAACCCGCCAACTTCTCCCTCAAATCACTAACCCCTGAATGAGCCGCGCACAAGCACATACACAGCGGGCCCCGTCGCTTTTCCCCAGGACCGCAAACGCACCCGTCACTGGCAGCCTGCAGAATCTCGTACGGCAGGGCACGCAGCTCGTCCATGGTACGACTGACCCAGACCAGGATGATGCGATCAGCATTAGATCCCTTCCCGGCGGGCTGTTGGCGACGGGCGGCGAGCAGCTCCAAAATCATCCCCAAAGCGGGAGTGATCTGGGCGGCAGAGGAGAGCGGGGTTGGACAGGAAAGGGTCGGCAGGGACGAGGCTCGGAAATGGGGTTGGCGTTGGTCAGGACGACAACAATGATCATCCTAAAACCCTCAGTTTTACAGGTATGGGGTCACGCACCCCCAACCATGTAACACACACACACACACGCAGACAACAAACGATCGAATCTTAGGCTCCGAGCGGTAATTTACATTCCAGGACGTAGCAAATCAACAGGCTCTGCGAAAGGCGTATGACCCTCTTCTAGGCATTTCTAACGGAACCGAAAGGCCTTCCGTACACGGTCGCCGAGTCTGTATCTAATTCGCAGGTGCTATCCGCGATCCCATCCAATCCTTTTCCATCAGGCAGGTAATCAATCATGCATTTCAAAGGTTAGCTTACCCCAACGCCACCCGCCACGAAGACGTGTGTGTCAAACTTCTTCATCCACTTGCGATTGCTATTGTCGTACGGTCCACTGACGTACAGAGCAAGGGGATCGCTTGACACTCGCGAAATGAGGGCCTGAGGGGTATACGAGGGGATAGAGCAGCGAATTGTAAAAAAGGAGAGGAAAGCAAGTAAACCGAAACGCAACTCACGCGTCGAATACCGGTCGTGGAGTTGTTTCGTCTGCAAGCATGCTACATAAACGCCCTGTCCTGTACATGTACGGCCTACCTTCGTCCAGCGGTTGTACTTCTTGATCTTGAGCTCCATGATGTTGGCGGCGGAGGGCTCGGAGGCGATGGTGAAGGGGTGCCACTGGAACCAGCTAACAGCGGGCACGTTCAGGAACACGGTGTCACCGCCCACCCAGTGGATAGACTGCGAGGAAAATAAACATGATGGGTGGGCCGAATTACACCCGTTGTATATGGATTTCATAAGCCTACAAACAACCACCAAAAAGGTCAGATGATTCACGAAAATGACTTTAAAGTCTGCAAATTTGCAGCGGCGTCGGCCACAGCGGCCGACACGACCGCCTGGGAGGTATTTCATTGATAAAGCAGAGCATTAGACACCTTCCGTAAGCCCCTTCCCCCTCCACACCATCCACACACAAGCGGCCCTAAGCACCTCGTGGCAGCGGATGCTGAGTGATAGCAGCTCCCCGCCGTTTGGAGAAGACAGTCGGGCGACTGCCGCACAAGTAGAAGAGAAAGGGAAGTTGACCTCGGCCCCCGTAGCCGCCGGCGCTATCTTCATCTTCACACCGTTGAAGTTCTGCTGCAGGGTGCGGAGTACCACGTCGACAAGGTACAGAAAGATGCCTGCGTGCATGCGCACATGTAGAAGAACAGAGGAGATAAGGGAGAGGGCGATGGCGCAAACATGGGAGGGTAGCGCATCCATGCTTGGTGTGCTTTTGCGCGTTTCTACGATCGTGCTGTTTGTGCGTCTTCGTCCTGTGTGGCGAATGTCTTCGCACGTGTCATGCATCCAGATGATAAGCCCGGGTTGCAGGCTGCGGGCCGGGGTTCCAGCGCGATGATGATGATGATGATGATGATGATGATGATGATGATGATGATGATGATGATGATGATGATGATGATGATGATGATGATGATGATGATGATGATGATGATGATGATGATGATGATGATGATGATGATGATGATGATGATGATGATGATGATGATGATGATGATGATGATGATGATGATGATGATGATGATGATGATGATGATGATGATGATGATGATGATGATGATGATGATGATGATGATGATGATGATGATGATGATGATGATGATGATGATGT